ATCGAATCGGTCCAATTAAACTTTAAAAAAAATCCAAAAGAATTATTAAAATTCATTATAAATGTTATTTTTTAAGAATCCAATAAGAAATACGGGTATTACATTATTAACTTTCATTTTTTTTTTATCAATTTGTGAATATTGAGATGTTCTTTCCCTATATGAACTTATGTTAACCATTAAATTTGCATCATATAAAAAATAAAATAGATTTATCATGGATAAAGTATATAATCATACATAGACTACAATAAAGAATGGATTAAATCGATAAAAAATGGCAACTAAAATCTCGAATTGGTGGAAAACCCTAATCCGCTAAAAAAAAAAAACCCAAATTATTACAACCTAAGTATAATCCAAAATTATTACAACCTAACTAACTACAATATTATATACTGAAATTGAAATTGATGGTTTATATTTTATAATTATTTTATTATTTAAATAATAACTAATTCAAAAAATCATATAATATCATCTAATTTAAAATGTATTATTGACAACTGTAAGAAAAATAATACATTACATGATTTATAATGCAAATAAATTAATAAAAAATAAAATATTTGGTTATCAATGTAGATATTTTTAGAATGCGTACCAATTTTTGAAATAACATTTCATTTTCAAAAATTTAATTTTTTAGATTTCTAGAATAAATTTAGTGGAAGAGATTGTTAGTAGAGACAGAGAGAGATTTCCAATGGTCTCATTGTATGAACCGTATCTTAAAATTAATATTTCTAAATTTGTGTTAAAGATTACCAAGTTATAAAAATAAAATTATAATTATTATATTAAAAATACTTGTTGCATTAAGAAAGAGTGCAGTTTGTATAGAGCCTAGGCTCTAAACAATCAAATTAGAGCCTACCTTCAAATAGTGTCGAGAAATGTGATTTCAATATTGGAAATCTTTGTGATAGCCTTAAAATATATTTTCATATTTATTTATAACGTTTAAAGCTTAAAAAATAGTGTAGATCGATACATCTATGAAAATTTGAAAATCTTAAAAATTGACGGTCCAAAAATACGTCACAAAATATACTGTTTTCGAAACTTGAAATCCATTTTTTTCTCATGTCCATACATCTTGATGTCGACATCAAGATGTATTGATCACTAGTGAAAATTTTGATGCAGGCACAAATTCGATTGTTTAGAGCCTTACCTTTTATTTTTTGACAAGAAACACTTGTTGTATTACTTTTTATTTTTATTTTTTTGATAAGAAAAAAAAAAGATGTTGTATTTCCTTTTTTTTGTGCTTGTTGTATTACTTTCTATTTTTTATAAGAAAATAAGAAAATGATGCTGCCAAAGTACCTTTTATTTTTATTTTTTTGTTAAGAAATACTTGTTTTTTTATTATTAATTTTTTATAAGAAAAAAAAGAAGATGTTGTATTACTTTTTTTTAAGTAAAACGTATTTTTTCCTTTTATTTTTTTGATAATATTATTTTCTTCATTTTATTTTATTTTTGATAATATTATTTTCTGCGTTTAATTTATTTTGAAGACAATAATTGTTTTTGAAGACAAAAAATATAGCTTTTATTTTATTTTTTTGTTAAGAAATACTTTATTTTCTTTGTTTTATTTATTTTTTATAATATTATTTTCTTCGTTTTATTTAACTTTGATAATATAATTTTCTTCGTTTAATTTTTTTTTGAAGACAATAATTGTTTTTTAAGACAAAAAATGAAAAAAATAAAAATGCAACATAGCATCACCAATAATTGACATGGAGTGATCGATTCCCATGACGACTAGGGCGATTCCTGGTAATACCAAGAATTGACATGGAGTGATCGATTCCCGTGTCGACTCGGGCGAGTCCGTTGTGACTCGCCTATGATTTTTAAAACACTGCCCTGAACATAATAAAGGAGATTCATAGACTTAACACGTCCGTAGAGCCTTTACAAACTTATGACGTCCGTAATGAAGGCATTTTGGACCTGAAAAAAAAAAAAAACAATTATTTTATGCAGGATGGATCGTATTTCTATAACATGCGGTTCAGAGGTATAAGGCATTCATCTTAAAGATGGTTGCAAATAGGTCGTCTATCTAAAAACAATTGTAATTAACTGTCCAAATATTTTCTTTATATAATTATTATTTATAGTTTATTTAAAAAAGCAAAACATGGATACGCATGTTACAAACAAGAAAATTGGTAAGTTTGAAATCTTAGCCCCAAAGTTCGACGGGTAATTTGAGTTTCAGACTCTGTTCTAGTTTCTCAGATAGTATTGTTAATAAATGATCTGAGTTGGCTATGCGATCTTAAATTATTAAATAAATAAATAGCATTTATTTACTCGACAATTTTTAAATCGCCAAATTAGTAAATAAACCATGCCAGATGAATTTATGTCTCATGCTAATACGATTAAGCACTGAGCAACGGCAAGTACACGCACATTCTCTCTTCTCTAAGTGGTTAGGTTTGAAAACTACTTAGCCATCCAAGTATTTTTTATCTCTTAGACAAGCTCTATCTACCAGTCATGAAGGCATTTTTCATAGGGGTGGCAGTCGAGTCGGGTTGTCCTGCCGACCCGATGGTTAGACCCAAACCGGCCCCATGTTGGAATTGGGTCTAGGTCCAAGTTTCGAACCTGGTGGGTTGTTTCTAGGTCTGGGTCCAGTTTGGACCCTAATGGGTTGGGTCTGAATAAAATATACAAAAAATTATTATACAATAAAAAAGTTAATTTTTTTTTTTTTTTTTCAATTTCTAAACTCGGTTCTAGATCCAAATGAGTTGAACCCAAGTTGGGTCGGAGACCATGTGAGGCCTTGTCTGATCTGGTTTAGGTCCAGAACATCTTAAACCCAAACCGTTGAGACCCCTAAGTTTTGACCCAGTAATCGGTTCACGATAAAGACTTTAGCAATCAAAGTTCTTTAGGATGTTTAGCTATGGCGATCACAACTTATTTATATTTAATTTACTCAAAAAGAAAAACTTATTTGTATTTTTATGGCGTTAAAAAATAGGCTTACTTTTTTAATGATGTTCTATAAACATGGATTCCATACGGTTTTAGTTAACAAATCCCATATTTACACATATAAGATAAGCGCACGTTTTTAAGATGTTCTATGAAATATGGATTCCATAAGGTTTTAGTTAGGGATGTGGTTTGTATAGAGCTGAGGCTCTAAATAATCAAAGCAAGAAATATGGTTTCAATATTGAAAATCTTTGTGATAGCCTAAAAATAGTTATCATCTTTCATTATAAAGTTTAAAGCTTAAAAAATGAGTGTAGATCTATGAAAACTTAAAAATCTTGAAAATTGACGATCCAAAAACGCGTTACAAGATACATTATTTCCAAAAGTTGAAATCCATTTTTTTCTCATGTACAAGCATCTTGATGTCGAGATGATCAATTTGAAGATATTTGAGCATCAAAACAACCTCTTCTAATGAAAATTTTGAGGTGCGCTCTAATTCGATTGTTTAGAACCTCAGCTCTATATAAACTTTTTATTGTGGTATAAAAAAAAGAAAGGCAAAAACAACAAAAAAAAAAAAATTGAGGGTTTCTCTTTGGCTTTTTCTAATAATGGAGAAAGTTTACTTTGATTAGGGCTGATAGTGGGCGGGCCTACCTTTGGCCTGGTCCACAGAGGCTAGGCCGAATCAGGATAAGGCTGAAGGCCCTCTAGTCCAGGCCCGAATCAGGACAATGCTGAAGGCCCCCTAGTCCAGGCTTAGCTAGGTGGCCCGGCTTTGCCTTGGCCCAGTCTGTATTTAGTAGCAGTCGACTATTCGCAACACTACGTCACTTACCCAAAAAAAATCAAATCCCAAACTTACCGACACGTGGGTTCATAAGGAAGCTGCTCCCTTATGGACCTGGTCAAAAACGGTGGTTGAGTTTGAGAAAAAAATAATAAATTTAATTTTGTAATAAGAAACGCCAATTTATTGCATTATAAAACTAATTACAAAATAAGCCAAAATTAGTTTGCTGCTCAAGGCCGTGGTAGGTGTAAGACCAAATCGCGCGTGCTGCACAGGGAAAGCCGTCGAAAGTCAAAATGACGATAATGGCCTTCAAACTTTCAAGAATTAAGATGTGCCCATATCCCATGGAGAAAAAGTCGATATTTCTTTTTTAAAATAGCATAAAATACTTGGTTAAGTTGTTGAATGTACTACATTGACCACCAAAACGCAAGATTAAGAACAAGTTTTTCATTATAAACAACTGCTATACTCACATTCTGTATTTTATAATGCATAAAAAAGATCAATTTGGAAATAATGCGATATGAAATCTTGATTATGGAGAGAAGAATATATATATATTAACTTCCATTCATAATTTGAAACTTTTATTTTTTTTTAACCCCACTCGAGATTTGTCACAAGAAGTTGTAGAAAAACTAAAATAATTAGAATTTATCATACCATGAGAAAAGAGTTAGAAGTATATCCCTAAAATTGGATTTTTCACTATGTTCAAAATTTCAAACATTTATTTGTCTCAAATAAGGGAAATTTATTCTAATAAGCAGAAACATGTACTAATTTACGCTCATGTTCCTATTTTTAATTTTTTTTTTAAATTTTTTAAAATGCCTTCGGTTTCTGCTGTTAAGTCCCAACCCAAACCATTCACAAATTGGTTCGGATTTTCAGAATCCGTTCGGAGTGGTTTGATTTGATGAACCGTTTCAGACTGTCAAATTTTACTAACTTAAATACTAAGAGTTTTGATTTCGATTTTGAAAATCCGAACCGATGGCATTCTAAAAGAAATAAAAAAAAAAGAGGAAATACAAGGAAATACAAGATATTAGCATGAATCTTTTCTAAAAAATTATTTTCGCCATCGGCAACTTCTTGGAAAGTTCATCGAAACAGCGAGGGCAAATTTGTAACAGCAGAACAACGAGAAATTCCCGATTGCAAACCTCATTAACCCATCATCATGCGTCTCTATATAGAGAGAGAGGGAAAGTGTGTGCTCATTGTGCAGATACCACTCTTGTCTGCCTGCCTGCCTGCCATATTTCTGACGAGGAAATCTCTCTCTCTCTCTCTCTCTCTCTCTCAAGTTACCCATTGTCTTCTAAGATCCAACCTTCGTTCTCTCTCTAGATCTAGAAAATATTTTCCTCCTCATTCTCTCTCTAGATTTCTCTCTGTAGAGTATAGAAGAGAAGAGCGCGAACTTAGAAATGGCTATGGCGGCTTCTGTAGCAGGAGGATCAAACATAGTAACAAAGCCAAACCACCCTTTTTTGCAAAGAAGGAGCCCTGTGCCGATAAAGTACAGTAACACTAGAATTTGTGCTGTTCATGCTGCTGAACCAGCGAAGGGGGCGGAAAAATTAGGGTTTATGGATGTGAAGAGGAAGGAGGAATGGAGATTGGATAGCTGGAGGAGCAAGAAGGCAGTGCAATTGCCTGAATATCCAGACCAGGGTTCTGTAGAGTCAGTGCTCAAGACTCTTGAGAGCTTCCCCCCTATTGTTTTTGCAGGAGAGGCTCGAAACCTTGAGGAGAAGATTGCAGAGGCGGCTGTGGGGAAGGCGTTCTTGCTTCAAGGTGGTGATTGTGCAGAGAGTTTCAAGGAGTTCAATGCGAATAATATCAGGGATACATTCAGGGTGCTTCTTCAAATGAGTGTGGTCCTCATGTTTGGTGGTCAGATGCCTGTTGTGAAGGTAATTTAATCCCTAATTGTTCTTACTAGGATTTCAATTTATTTATTTTACTGGAGTTTTAATTTTCTAGGAAATTTGAAATAAATGAAATTGACATTAAACACAGAAATACGAAGTGACCCAAAAGGAAAAAGTTAAATGATGGCAAGGTGAAAAAAAAAAAAGGTGTGATCTTTGGTCCCAAAACTCTGAAAGATGCAGTCTTTTTGCTTATTATTATTATTATTATTTTTTGAGAAAGGTAATAATAATAATAATAATAATAATAATATTATTATTATTATTATTATTATAATATAGTTATCATTATTATTATTATTATTATCATTATTGAAATATTATTATTATTATTGTTATTTCATATGAACCATGATAAAGAGGAAAAAAGCGGAGATTCTAAGGCTGAAGAAGCCACAAGACCTGGAAATGTAGGATCGAAAATATGGCAAAACTCTCCACAAATGAGCAATTCCAGTACCCAAAGCCCTAAAAGATGCTTTATTCTTTTTTTTGAATTTTTTTTTTGGGTGTTTGGAATGCCGTGTTCGGCATGCAAGTCAGCTTTCTGCACCACAAATCTATATGAAATGAAACAATTAATGGCCTTTAGCTTGGGCATATCAGAAATTATGGTTTATTGATTCAAACAACTCTTTCTTCAGCTGCTGTTACTGTTTAACGCGCTCTGCTTAGTCCATCTTACTTCTTGAATCTTAAATGCTGATTGTTGTAGTACCCAAAGTTGTGTGTACAATTTGGGCCATTTAAAAAAAATTTAAAATATGAAAAGATTGTAAAATATAAAGATATGTTACACAAACTTTTCTTACATGATTTAGATGTATTTGGCAGAGATTGGTGAGTGTTTTTTTTTGCATAATCATATTTTTATATTTTTCCATTTTTGGATTTTTTGAAAATATGCCAAACTGTAAATTGGGTTGTTTTAAATCCCTAATTTCTCTACTTTTTTATCCTTGTTTTCACTTTTTAACTGTTTTAGGTTTGAATTACTTTTAATGTTTTTTATTTTTTATTTTTTCTCAATTTTTTCTTAAATTTTTTAGGGTCTTTTTGCCTTGCGCTGGACTAGGCTGAGGCGAGTGCCGACACACTGTTTGCAGTTGAATTGAATCTATGCGCAACCTAATCTGTTGATATCTTGCTTGCATCTCTTGACCCTATGAATTTCTTTTAATGTATAATTTGGTACTTGGTGGTTGCTTCATATCCTGTGCTATTTGCCTGGCAATTTTTTGCTTATGTGAGGATTTTCTTAAATCTTATTAATATTCCTTACTCTTTTTAAGGGAGATGAATAAACTCTGCATCTGGGAAATGTGGCTTTATTTGTTGGGGAGTTTTCCTCCTAAAATTGTTTTGGTTTGTTTCTTATGGGAGGTTTTATTTAAGATGAATTGGGTATATGCAATTGTAGATCACCACAAGAATCTTATTCTTGATTATTTATGGTTTGTTTTCAAATTGAGGTTTCCATTTGAACTTTTTAGTATACACAATTACCATCAGTTGGTTCCCACTGAAATTTCCAATATACAAAACTGGAACATCAGTTTAGTTGCCTGTGAACTGTCTAATGTACATAAATAGAACATCATCGTCCATTACAAAATGGTTTGTCTCCTCTTAGATTGCATGTTGTTTGCTTCTCTTATGAACTCAGGAAATTTATCTGCAGATCAATATTTTCTTCAAACCTCTCTATAATTCTTGTTCTTGTACTGTCAGTTATAACAGAAGTCCTGACTTTGCCGTGCTTTGTCCAATGGACTTTTTCTATGAAGAGTTGTCTGTGTATATGTCTTATGTTTTGAATTTTCTGGGTACTTTCTAACATAATTCATTCAATAACCTAATAAACTCTCCCCTAAATGTCGGTTTAATCTCAGAAGCGTTATTGGGTCACTTGGACTGAATTCTTCCCTATTTTATCAATCTCTTACAGGTCGGAAGAATGGCTGGTCAATTCGCCAAACCCAGATCAGATAATTTCGAAACAAAGAATGGTGTGAAGCTTCCTAGCTATCGTGGAGACAATATCAATGGAGATTCGTTTGACGAGAAAGCAAGAATACCTGATCCCGAAAGAATGATAAGAGCCTATACTCAATCTGCAGCTACTCTGAATCTTCTCCGAGCATTTGCAACTGGAGGTTATGCTGCAATGCAGAGAGTCTCCCAGTGGAACCTGGACTTCACTGAGCACAGTGAGCAGGGAGACCGGTATTGGATCTTTTCTTTTCTTGATTTTCTTTAAAAATCATTTTTGAAAATTTTTATTTTCTTTTTTTTTCCCAATGGTGTACTTCGATGTATGCAATTGACAAACAGAAAAGCTTTTGCGGGGTTGCAAACTATAGTTTCATTGTGCTTTGTTTCTTTGCATCATTCCTGGCATGGCTCTGGACTTACCTGGGTCTGCACAGATCAGAGGTCTGGTGAGTCCAAAAAACCTTGGGACTCACCCTGAGTCCGAAAGAAATTGGAGTTTTTTTGTGAGTTTTGTTTTTGAAAAAATACCCAGTCTGACTCCGGACTTGCTTGAGTCAGACCAGGTGACTCAGGCTTGGGTGGCTAATCCAGCCTGAGTCCATATTTTTAAATACTTGTTCATAGAATTATATCAAAGAAATTTTGAATCTTTACCAGAGATAGTTTTGAGTTTTGATTTTTTTTTCTTTCAGATACATGGAACTTGCACAAAGGGTAGATGAAGCTCTGGGATTCATGGCTGCCGCTGGACTTACTGTGGACCATCCTATCATGACCACCACTGACTTTTGGACATCCCATGAGTGCCTTCTCCTGCCTTATGAGCAGGCTCTAACCCGAGAGGATTCTACTTCTGGGCTTTACTATGACTGCTCTGCACACATGGTTTGGGTGGGAGAGAGGACTCGACAGCTTGATGGAGCTCATGTTGAATTCCTTCGTGGTGTGGCCAATCCTCTCGGGATCAAGGTGGGTTTCTCTCTCTTCAAACATTTTTCTTGATATATGCTTTCTCCTAAACATTCTTATTAATGAATTCATTCTTTAGTCTATAACCGCATTACCATGCATAAATTGCCATTTCATAACAGATACATTTTGGCGAGGTTTTCATTTTCTTTTCTTGGGTTGACAGTTTCATCTCTTGTTTGATTTAGATCCATCTTCCCTGTTTGCTATTACTCCTATTTTGAGTTGACAGTTTGGGTTATGTTTTCTCTGCCACTTGCATGGCATTCATATTGCCATTTTTATGATTTTTGATATACTGATCTATTGTTTGGGGCTTCTAATGGAGGGGTGTGTTTCCCCAGCCATCGTCGTTTGTTCTTTAATCGCTTATCATTTGTTGTGTATTCAGGCCAGCGATAAGATGGATCCTAGTGAGTTGGTGAAGCTATGTGAGATTCTTAACCCTCACAACAAGCCAGGAAGATTGACAATCATTACTCGTATGGGGGCTGAGAACATGCGTGTAAAGCTCCCGCATCTTATTCGTGCTGTGCGCCAAGCTGGACTCATCGTAACATGGGTGAGTGACCCAATGCATGGGAACACCATCAAGGCACCTTGTGGCTTGAAAACACGCCCATTCGATTCAATAAGGGTAAGGACATTCCTTCTATTGATTTTTCTCTCACTACAAGGTTAACTAGTTCCAAAAAAAAAAAGAAGACATTCTTTCTATTGATTCAATAACAGTCTGCATGTATGTATGCAGTCTTATAAAGTCAACGCCCTATTGGGTTGAGGTCTTATGTTTTTATTGGGTTTCATATTGTTCAGGCTGAGTTGCGTGCTTTCTTTGATGTGCACGAACAAGAAGGGAGCCACCCAGGTGGAGTTCACTTGGAGATGACAGGCCAAAACGTGACTGAGTGTATTGGAGGGGCGAGAACTGTGACCTTTGATGACTTGGGCTCACGTTATCACACCCACTGTGACCCAAGGCTTAATGCTTCACAATCTCTCGAACTGGCCTTTGCAATCGCTGAGAGATTGAGGAAGAGAAGGATAAGATCAAACAAGCAAGAAGTTCCTCCACCCATTTCACATCTTTCTATGGGACTTTAAAGACTATCACCCAGAAATTTCTCTTATGGTGTTATCATCTTAGTTTGGTTCTATAGTTTAGTTTGGTTCTGTAGTTTATATTTGTGTTTATTCTTCTCTGTGCCCTCAAAAATGGGATACCAAAAGCAATTGTAACTTACCTTTGGCAACCCTCCACTTTTTTCATTTAGTTTTGGTGCATGTTGAGGGTATTGTTTATGTATAAGGCTACTAGGAGAGGGGGGTGTTTTCTTGGAAGACTCATGGCTTTGTTCTTGGGCCCTGTAAGAGCAGTCACTGTAAACTTTTCTGGCTTTTGGTGTTGCAGTAAGAAGTTCTCGTTGTGACTACTTTAGAGTATGAAAAATTTATTCGTTGTGACTACTTTTAGAGTATGAAAAATTTATTCCTAGAAAAGTAAAAGTGAAATTCTCTTTTGATGAGTAAAGGAAAGGATAATTATTAATGAAGAAAATTTGAAAAGAATATTCAACATATTCAAAAGGAAACAATTACTATTAATGAAGAAAATTTGAAAAGAATGTCCAACATATTCAAAATGCTTATGAAGATGATAGCAATAGAATTTCCTTTCAGGTCACATTTAGTAACCAGGAAAAGTAGTATAGGATTGGGCTTATTCTAGATCGGAGAAATACCCTATTTTGATGTTGTAGTAACTTGGAATTAGAATTTTTTCATCCCTGAAAATGGGGATGCTGGAATTTAAGGTGAGGCGGGTTTGGTGGAACTCAACTTCACTGTCCAATGATGTCTCTGTACATCCCAAAAATATGTTTCTTTCCCTTCTCACAATTTTAAGCATTTCCCGATGTGGTTAGCCTTTAAGCCTTCGAAGGAGGCTTCTTACATTTTCCAAGGATTTGGATCTGAGGGCATTCATCTCTGTGGTCTTTGGTAGGTCTTTCTACCAAATTTTTTGTTTTTTTAACACTGATGGGATTTGAGCCCACCAACTTCACTTCTTACCATGTCTTACATGCTTTATCTCATTCTTTGGATTTATGGGCCAAATGGTTTGTTTTATCATTTATGATTTTTCTTTTATGATGGGGCTTTTGTTTTCGGGCATTCATCAGGAGGTTTAATATGAATCTTTTGACATTTTTAGCATTTTCATACCTTGATTTTCATATTAGCTTTCAAATTCATCATTCATATAACATTATTGATTTTCGTGGTCTGTATCAGATGCATCTAGGTTTTTAACCTTTTCAGTTTTGATGATTATGTTCATTTGTGCATATTAGTCATCTTTTTTAAAGGCTATTATGGTTATCACAATAGTAGTGATGGTAATTTGGTTACTTTCTCTTTTTTTAATGCATTATTTGGGTTCGATTTCTATTTTTGGTTTATTGCCTTTGTTTCTAATCAATATGGTTTGACACACTAATGATCAAATAAATAAATAAATATGGTTTGACACTAAAAAGGAAGTAAGAAACAGATGTAAAACAATTCATCTTTGAATTTCTGAAGAGGGTAATGCATGTATATTTGATCATGTGTTGCTGAATGCTGATATTTATATCATGTAGATTAGCACTTCAATCGGTTGTTTAGCTCTTTGAATCACGGCTTAAATAGTCATTGTCAAGTAGAAGCGTGGGCTGGAAAAACACTTGTGTTGGCATGTGAGTCAGGAATCATCAAAGAAGTGGAGTTTGAAGGAGAATTGAAGCATTAAAAAGTTTAATTTATCTGCGGTTTCTATTCGTGGTTCATCGATGAAACTGGGAGGATGGAATCTTTATGAGGTAGTTGGTACTTGGTAGCGGCTCCCTTCTATGAATGATTTGACTATATCTTGGCAATCAAACCTCCTAGATAGTGGTATTTAAGCTGATGCATCAAATTCTCTGATTTGAAAGCTTCCTTTTGGCATATTGTTGCATACATGATCAAGCTCTTTGCGAGGTTATAGTGCCCCAAATGCTTGCCGATTTTTGACCAAATAAACCTTGAGGTGGGACAATCTATAGGGAAATGGTATTGAAAAAGAGCAAAGCATAGGCTTAAAATGGAGGTTGGGCTAATTCCATGCTTTTGTAGAATATCTGAAGTAAGGGGAAAGTGATATGGAGCAAACCATTGGAACCAACTCACCTAAGAACATAAAAATGATAATTATCAACAAAAGAAAAACAAAAAAGACATTGGAGTGATATTCTAATTTTAATTAGGGTTGGTTAACTGGACAGTGGTTTCTCCGCAGCTATGAACCTATTTTCAGATGGAGATATTGCCACTATGATATCTCCAGTCATTGGATTGATTCAGGTGAGGCATTGTTCTATAGCTTACCATCACAAGGTCTGCTTGATAGTTTTGTGAGACTGACAAGTTCCATATTCTCACATAAGAGTGCATTGGTCCTCCTTTCCCTAGAGACAAATGGGGAAAACCAACGATCATGTTCACAGCACATGATTAGATGCGATTAGGTATTCTCTAGATTTACACAAATAGCACTTGGTATGAAAGCCTATATTGCATGAAATTTGTGCCTATTGGATGAAGCCATCTTGGAGTAACGGCTCGGAAATATCGTGTTCGCATCTACTTTCTCATTTAAAGGACGTTAACATCATGACCATTATAGAATTCTTCATGCTTGTAAGTTCCCTGTGGTTCAAGAGAACCATTCGGTAGGGGACCGATTCTAGTTTTGTTCTGATGGAATTTGAGTTCCCCCCATTGTTGATGAATGTGGTTTTCAAGCACTTTGGAAAGCCTCCTGATACCATTTGACTGTTGCATCTTTGATAAGATTTTAAGTTTGTAGTATCTATACATTGGGCAGCCGTTAACTGGCATGATCCTTGGTATTGATTATTGAACTTAACTCGTTGAAACCTGCATGAAAGAGCCACATAGGTGGGAATGCTTGTTACAAGTTCCTTGTTATGGTAGATCAATTTTAGATGGCTATCTAATGTTTCCTTTGGTAATACTGATAGTTGTTTTGGAGAGACCTAACCCTTCCAAATCTACCATGGTTTTTAGTTTGGCTTCCCAGTTCCACTTGTGGTTTATCTCAACTGAGGATTCTGTGTCCACCTATAAATAGGGCTGTTAATGGGCTGGGATTGGGCCGAGCCCGAACCCGGCATGAAATCATGCAAGGCAGACCTGGGAGGCAACCGAAAATTGGATTTTGAGCCATGCTTGAAATCTTGTCAACAAGGTCTGAACCTGAAAAACCAGGCCGGGCCTTCTATAAATGTAGGGAAATTTTTATTTTAAAAGCTTATGTAAAATTACGGGCCAGGTTCGGCCAGAAAGCGCACTGGGCTTACCAAAGCCCGGTCTTAACTGGCTTCTTGTTTTCTAGCAACCCAAAAATGCCCTGATGGTTTGCATTGGGTGGATTAGATTAGGATTTTTTGTCCATTTACTTTATTTTGGCTTTCTTCTTGTTGGACTCGATTTTAGTGGTTTACAATTAAAGAACAAATCCATTTTAATGTTGTCTTCCATTGCACATGCTAGTCACCTGATTTGCAGACCTCATTTTTGCGGCCAAAGTTTCCACTATATAAAATGCTGTATAAATTATACACACATTTTTTGAAGTTGCCACACAAGTTTCTAATGTGTTTCAATAATGCCACCTTCTTTAAAACTTGATTTTTGCAATATCTTTGTGTTGATTGAGAACACTCATCATCATCGTCATCATCCGAGCCTTATCTCAACTATTTAGAATCCGCTTGTTGATCGAGAATATTACTTGTTAGGTAGACCTCATTTCAGCTTGTATGTTCCTCGACAGTAGCGGTGTCATGCAAGCAAAACGAGAACCACTCCATAATGACTTGTCTTTAGGTTGGAAGGGAGTTTTAAGTGCCATGCCATGGATTTTTAGTATTATTAAAGCCGAAACACAACCAACAAGAAATGAAAAAGAAAGATGTCAATGCCTTTGGAAGCAATCAAATCTTTCAAGTCGAGCAAATTGTATTTGCAAATTTCCCTTCTTCTTTTTGGGCAGTTCAATAGTAGGAATGGAACTCTAGTGGTTCACATTGTGGCATCCACCATCCTTATTATTTATGCCTAGAGTTAGGGGTGGCAACGGGTTTGGTCAGGTCCGGGTTTGGCAGGACTTGGACCCAACCAAAACATTAATATATTATAATATACGATATTAACAAGGATTGTCTACAAAGAGATAATTTGTATTTTTTAAATAGAGGTCACATTCATTCATGTCCCTTAAATTTCAAAATGGGTGGTTGTAAGAGTGTCATTGAATAAACACAAAGTTTCAAATAAATGTTTTTTGGACTTCGTGACTCACTTCAAGCCATCCAATTTGACATCTAATGAGTAGGAATGTTTATGACCTCCATGCACAAAAGCTAAATGGCCTATGTGTAGACAATCCCATATTAGTATTAGCTCATGGGATTAATATTGTTCTATATAGCTCATTTCAAAAACCAAAATTCCTAAGTTAATACAAAAATAAAATAAATAAATTGAGTTAGAGAGATCCATTTATTGTCATATGCTCTCCACCTTCGAAAGGAAAATTGTTTCATGCGGGCTGGACCGCATGACAACATATGCGGTCCAAATAGTGTAAAGCATCAATCTTAAAGATGGATGCAATCAGGTGTTTTATCTAAAAATAATGGAAACTAACAGTTCAAATGTTTTCTTACTAGAATTATTATTTCTAGTTCTTAAAATTTATTTATTTTTTCATATTCATGACCTCCAGGTTAGAGATTACTTGTCCTTGAAAATTAAGTCCAAAAATACATCTCAAAACTAAATTCATTAAGAGGCCTGCATGTCTATATATGCGGGCTAGGCCACATAGAAACCGAGTCCATTTCGAAGAAGCTGTTACAGCAATAAAAAAAACTATTACATCCATTTTTACGTAGTTCTCATAAGAAATTGATATATGACGATAATCTTTCCATGTGTATTTCTTCTGGATGAGAAATTTTTTTCAATCTAATACCTATCTCTCTCTCTCTCTCTCCTAAAGATGTAGAATATGATTTAAAGTTAGCTATCCTACCATCTCTACAGTATTGGGATCCTTTTTTAATTCTTGTGACATGTATCAAGTACTTAATCCCTTGACTTTGGCGTAGTATGGATAAATATATTCTAGGTTGGTTTTATGCGAGGGAGTAGTGGATATTAAGCTCCCTTAGGAGCATGAAATCTTTTAGATATACTCTTATTTTTATGGGATTATATTGTATGAGACTATTTATTTTTGTTACAGGGATGTCACAATTGCTACCAGCCATTAAATAACATAGAGTTCAATAATTTTTTTTTTTAACTTTGAGTGTAGTCA